TCTCCTTATTTTTATACATTTGCCTCTGACGGATTACACAATACCAACGTCGACTACACACGAATCCGGATCCGTTCGCCCTGATTCGCGCTCGCCCTAGTACCTGTTCGCCATAAATCCTGTTCGCCCTGGGTTTGTTCGCCCTTATACCTGTTCGCCCTAGGTCCGTTCGCTCTGATTTTTATTTTATTTTGTTGTTTTGTTGTATAATGCTTACTATTTGAAAAGAGTATGTTAAAGTATGTTTCGCCGAATATTTATGTTGTATTGATGCTACCAAAAAATATTTTCCTTTTATCTGCACTGTAGAGTACCAGGAATACAAGGTATTTAATTTAAGATAACTGAAGACCATGTTATCTGCATGTATTTATCTTTATTGATAAATTTTAACAATTTCAAAACAATCATTAACAGTTATAACAAGATCCAACTTCGCATCACACACCAGTTATGTCCTTATTTTTTACAATATTATTTTATAGAGCACAATGCATATATAGGAGATGTGTCAAAACGAACTTGAGATCAAAGAACCCAATCTGTGTGCGAAACAAAAACCCCTTTTATATTTTACAATTCGTACATCGTTGTTTTTACTCATTCCAAGCTGACTAGTTTATTTAAAAAAAATGTTACTTTCATTATTAATCCAAAAGACAATGAGTACAAAAGTAAATGAGCTCAAACATACATATATATTATGCATCATGATATGATACAGTGATGATTTATATTCTTAGCATTAAGTAACCCTACAATAGTAAGCTGTACTTTGGATGTTTGTATCAGTATAGTTTGTCTTTAATCCTATTTTCAAAACTGTATACATTAGATGTACAAAAGATTATATATGATATGTTTATGATCTTAAGGAAGTATCGAGGAATGTCATCGGATACTAGTCTTACAAAAAAAAAGGGAATTGCAGCGTAATATCAAAAACGGAGAACAAAGTATTTAATTGTCGCACTGTGTGTCTGTGTATGTCTAATTATTTGCGGAACCACTGTTTTTCAACTGATCAAGATTTATGTAACAACATGTTCAAACGACTGTTACAAGTCATCAACAGGAAGTTGTTGCTGCTGTCATGTTGCACGTTTATCTTTTTTTATTTCAAAACCCTGGTCAACTCTGTTACGATAAATGCCCTATATAAGCGAATAAGAGCGTTTTATTGATTGAATACTTGCCTATTGTTGATGCTGACAAATGATGTTATTTCGTCTGCGCCTGATTTAAATGTGGAAAGTGATACGGTGGATGTACATTTCAATCAATTAATCTAAATGCATACTAAATATGTTGATAATCATTAATACCTTATTTTGTTTTATTGCATTCAGTCAAAAAATCATGACTATCCGCCTCTAAATATTTATCAATATAAATGGATTTTGACAAAATCCTTGTGCGTTAATTAACTGTTTTTTTTCGAAAATAAAGAATTTCTATAACGCATATAAAATACAAATGAGCGGCAAGTAAAACCTTAAGATGTTTGATACTACATGGGTTATCTAAAGTAAAGTACATAAAAGTTATCAATTATCTTACCAGAATCACTTGTTGCTTACATCCAGAATACAGTATGGATATGAAACGTTAATGAAAGAAAGCATAACAATTATCACAGTTATATTTTGTTTTTAAACGATAAACATATACTGGATTAAACTCGGAATTTCCTCTCAATATTTGAAAATAATAACATGTAATCTCCTACAATATGTTTTCACCATTAATGGTTAATGTACGCATTAGTAAATTCTGGATTATTATAATGGTTTTATTATCGATCAATATCAGATTACGATTTATAGTTTTTGATATTTAATGTATTCGTTGATTTGAAAAGAATCGGCGAACACAAATTATCTATAAAATAAATTTCTTTTGGTTCAAACGAAAATCGTTCTCGCTTGTAGATCCAATTTAAACTGTAGTAATGGACCATTTTCTTTTTAATGGGAAGTGACGATTAAAAAACTGTAAACAGTTTAGCTATGAAAACGTAGCCTCAATTGTACCTTTTATCCTATTTTGATTTGGATCTAATAACTCACATATATTCATATAAAGGTATCACAGGAAATTTCGCTCAAACATCCTATTTGAAAATCCAGGTAAGGTTAATATTCCGGCGCTAAAATGTCCTATGATGTCGGCGTTCAAATGACCCAATGTACATTTTTTATTTTCGCTCAAATGTCCTATAAATATGCACTTCTTTGTGATAAATGTAACTTTTTATACATGATATAGCGTAGACATTACAACTAAAATTCCAAAGCTTGCAAAAGGAAAAGCTAAATTGTGTTCTGCATCATAAACACATATTGACTATTCAAATTTTATCATTCTGCTCCTTTAAACAGATTTTACACATCATAAAGGTATCGAATTTTCATTTTTGTTGTTATGTTGTATAATGCTTACTATATATGTCACGTGATAACGTTTTACCCAATAGAATTGTTTGAAATATATGTAAGGTATAATGATATTAATTATTGAATTACATTGAAAATTATTACTTGAATATAAAGTAGCGTTTTTGTTTTTTGTCGTGAACCCCCTGATACGGTCACTTTATTGATAGGCTACCACGTGATATTTTACATTTTAACAAAGTTCATTTCAGTGTAGATCGGATAGTAAAGAAATAAAGACTAGGTTGCAGTCAAAAAATCATTTATATGTTAGAACCTATTTGCCTTTTGACAAAACATATATGTGTTTTAATAATGCGTATGTTTATTAAATATCAAGTATAATGATAACGCAATTATATAGTTCATGCTCTGAGACGGTCCCTGTACGTGTTGTGTGTGTAGACTTAAAGGAGACGTGACACGAATTTTAAAAAAAATTTTTTTTTATTAAATTGATAAATATTAGTCTTAAAACATGTTTTGTACAGGAATTTTGTAATATTCGTAATCAGTTCGATAAACTAAATCGAAATACTAAACGTAACTTTCAACAAAAGGAGCAGGATAATTTGACTAAACTGTTTCAAAGTCACAACACTCAGGACTTCTGGAAATACATTGGTAATATTGGTATTGCGAATGAACGTC